GAATTATCGAACCCAGGAGAGAGGTGGTGGGTGCTTTGGGAGGAACGGTTGGTGAAAGGGCTGGAGGGAGGCAGCATGTTTGGCCTTGCAGTAATAGGCCTTGGGTTACTGCTGTCTTCCTCTTATGAGATTAGAGGAGGTCAGAACATGTGGCCTCCTTGCCGTTTTTGCAGACTCATACAATATTTGTCTGAAAAAATTTTCAGACAAGATGTTTTTAATGTGAGTAAAAACACTCCAAATTAACTTAGAACTCCTGATGTGAGGTGGTAACTATGCTAAGGACTGAGGCTAAAACTCCATTTTGAATCAAAAGTAATCTCTGTATCAGGAATATAGCCTGTTATCCCTGTAACTTTCCACTGTACCCTAAGAAAATTACTTGGTAAACAATTTCAGAGAACAATTTTCAGTTCCTTAAGGGTTTTTTTTTGTTTTTGCTTGCTGCTTAAGAAGCCAGGTCCAAAACAATTCTCAGAACAAATACTTACTCAAAATAAACTTTAGAACTACAGATGTCTTTTCTGTAGTCATGGGAGAACGATCTCATGATTGTTTCAAGGCCAGATATACCCAATTTAATGATTACTTTGTAAGTTAAAAAAAAAAACAACTTTAGAAACATACAATCTTCTACCTATCAGATGTCCCATCATCCAACTTTGTAATTATTACCTAAACGTCAACCAACCACTGAATTTTTTTTTATTGATGTTCCTTGTATTTTCTTATGTAAATTCTATGAACTATCTCTTCCTTGGGTCACTTGGTTCAGAATCCTCTGGTCTTTGTGATTCCCAGTTTGCAAATTGCCTTGCCTCTCAATAAAAACTCTTTACTTTCAATTTCAACCAGATTCTGCCATTTTGCTCTAAGATATGAGTGATAGCATGACAGAAAGGTAAATGCCTAACATTACTGCAATACAACTGCAAATGAAAATTTCAGTTTAACGCTGTAAGTTAATTATAAATAAAACCAAGCGCATTGCTGTTGAGTCGGATTCGACTCATAGCGACCCCTCCTTGGGTTTCCGAGGCCGTATCACTACAGAAGTAGATTGCCCAACCTTCCTTTTGAGGATTGGCTGGTGGGTTTGAACCGCCAGCCTTCTGGTTAGCAGTCAAATGCCTTAGGCACTACACTACGAGAGCTCCTTCTAATTATAAATGTTGTTGTTGTGTGCCGTCCAGTCGGCCCAGACTCATAGCAACCCCTCCTTGGGTTTCGGAGGCAGTATCACTACGGAAGTAAATTGCCCAACCTTCCTTTCGAGAGTGGCTGGTGGGTATGAACCGCCAGCCTTCTAGTTAGCAGTTTAGTGCCTTAGGCACTATGCTACCAGAGCTCCCTAGTTTAAACACTAAGGGCCATGAGGCAGCAATATATGACCCTTAAAGGAAGCTCAACAATTCAATGGGGAAAAGAAAGGAGCAAATATTCTGTAAACACACTGATTGACTCTGCAAGTGTGTTTCCTAATCACCAAATCAGACCCACCTTTCACATTCACCTAGGTCAGAACCATATCTACAATCCTTATCACTTTTTCTTACCTAAGTATATCACTGACAGTAATTTCAGGGATGAACTTCTGGAGGTGCTTCACTGTTGCACTGAGAAAACAGGCCTTATACATTTCTTTAACTCCATAGGAGAAATTCTCGAACACCAGTTTAACCAAACCACTGAAAACAAAGGAAAAATCTCTATGAGAAGAAAATAATTTTTTGTATTGTAAGACAGTTCCACAACTATTAATTTATTATTATTATTATTATTATTATTATTATTATTATTATTATTATGTTTCTTGGGGGGTGGAGCATCACAGAAATCTAAGCAAGAAAAACTAATATAAAAAGAATTAACTTCTGGCCAATCAGAGAAGGTAAACAAGGCTAATCAAGGGGCAAACAATGCCTTCCAAACTGAAATCTGAAACTATTCCCATGGAGTGCTAGTTTCAGACTGGGATTATTTAAACTTGCCAACATTAAATCTTTCTAATACAAATGTTAAGTGTTTTCAAAATACCTGGAGGCATTAACAGACCTTTAAGACAGAGTATTAAACAAGTGAGGATACCTACCTTCTTTTTCTTTAGCTGTTGTTATTGTTGTTGTTATGTGCCATCGAGTCAGCCCTGACTCATAGCGACCCCTCCTTGGATTTCCGAGGCAGTATCACTATGGAAGTAGGATTGCCCAACCTTCCTTCCGAGGAGTGGCTGGTGGGTTTGAACAGCCAGCCTTCTGGTTAGCAGTCAAGTGCCAGGGATAAAATACTGTAGCAGTAAGTCTATGAGTCGGGGCCGACTCGATGGCACATAACAACAACAACAAGTCTCAAGAGAGAATCTGAAAGCCTATTTGAGCCCATTTTTGGATGTGTATGTAGGTATGTGAAGTTTCTGTGTGGTGCAAATAGTTAATGGGCTCGGCTGCTTACCAAACCGTTCAAGGTTCAGTCCACCCAGAGCACCTCAAAAGAATGGCCTGGTGATCCATTTCTGAAAAATAGCCACTGGAAACCCTACAGAGCACAGTTCTATTCTGACACACATGGGATCACCATGAGTATGTATGTACGTATTTCTACAAGCATACATGCTGGGAAGCCCCTTCCTAGATCTTCTGTTTCAGAATCTCTGGAGGGTGAAACCCAAGCATGGTTTAAAGAGCTTTCCAGTGATTTTTATGTGAAACCCTCAGGAGAAAAACATGCCAGAATGACCAAATTAAACATCTCATGAAGTGAGTTCTTACAACAATAAAGAACCTGCATCCTGGGTCAATACAAAAGTATTGTTAGTTTTCCACAAAAGAAAACAACTTTGGTTATCAGCAATTTAACCAGTGACTAACAAAATAATGCTGACTGACTGGAAATGATGTCATCAAAGTAAGTAATGATTTTTTTTTTTTTTTTTTTTCCAACTAGACGGTTAGCAATATAGTCTGTCAAATGTGTGATGGGTTCCTGGTCATATTCTTTTTAACCACGTCATCATCCTGCCTCAGAATTTTCTTTAAGTAGTTAAAACATTATACTTATTTTATACAGCTCTTAATTTTTATTAATGAAAAACTTTATACTAATCACAAATATGAGGATTTATCCAGTAAGTACACTATCAAGAAAACAAAATTTCCCACATTAAAAACATACACATGTAAGTAAATAAAGTTGTTACCTATTGATAATTATATCCATAACATCTCTGGCATTGAAGTCAAAAGGTTTGTAACCCTCACGTTTAAAGGCAAGAACTGCATTGGGCCCTAGCCAAATATTGCCATCCATTCTTGGTGTGAAGTGAACTCCTAGGAAAGGAAACCGGCTATCTGGGACCTATGGATTTAACACAGCAAGGAACGATAAGCCCCATTTCATACACTGATGCACGCATTCAATCGGCAATACAAAGCACTTTCTTCTTTAATGCATTTAATCTGCATTATTTATGATTGTACTCAGATGTTCTATTAACATGCTTCTGCTTAGAAATGCCGCACAGGAAACACCGATGCTATTGATGCCAACATACACCGTCCTATCTCCTCACCTTTCTGGGTAAAGGGAAAAAAAAAGATTAACTGTCCAACTGTATGTTATTCTCTCCCACAACTAGAGATGCAGTAAGTAAAATCAGAGCTGCAAGGACAAAGACACACACACACACAGCACAGGTGTTTGTAATGTAAGAATGAGTTAGGGTGAATTTGACAATTTCGCAAAGTGAAAAATTTCAAAAGCTGAATTTTGGCAATTTCATCTAATTCAACCTATTTTAGAGGATTCTAGACAGAAGGAAGGAGCTCTGGTAGCGTAGTGTCTAAGGCATTTGACTGCTAACCAGAAGGCTGGCAGTTCAAATCCACCAGCCGCTCCTTGGAAGGAAGGTCGGGCAATCTACTTCCATAGTGATACCGCCTCAGAAACCCAAGGAGGAATCGCTATGAGTCAGATCTGACTAGATGGCAGTGTGTTGCATTGTTGCGTAGACAGAAGGGATGAATTCCACATTTTAACAGCTCTGTCTTCTACCTTTTAGAACTACACAGTAGTTGCATCCCCTTTTCTATACCTGCAGAATGTGAACTGAGAAAGAGGGCTGGGTCTCTGGGACTGCCATAAGGGAAAGTTCACCTAGGAATTCTCCCTCCACCAAAGAGGAGGAAGAATCGAGTTCCTACTTGACAACACTTACTTGCCTTGGTGCACTGAGACTTTCTGAAGAAGACATGTACTTATGGGCAATTAATTACAACTGAATGACCATAAGATCAGTAGAGTCTGTGAATCATGAGATGAAATGTATGCACAAACACCCTGTCCAAATCTACCTTACTTCTGACCCAGATAAAAGTTTTTGTTTTTATTCCCTCAATGCTCACAACCAGGAGCTCCAGTGCCATAGTGGTTACAGCATTTGGCTGCTAACCAAAAGGCTGACATTAGAAACTACCAGTCACTCTGTGGGACAAAGATTTGCAGCCTTGGAAACTCCATGGGGCACTTCTACTCTGTCCTAAAAAGGTCACTATCATTCAATCAACTCGATGGCAGTGGATTTGGGTTTTTGTTTTTTGCCCACAACCAATTTGAGAAAAGTGAGAAGGCAGAAGCATAATTACCTACCGGGTAGATATTTCCTTTTACAAGATAGCATTTTTCTGGCTTTAAGAGCAGATAATCTCCCCGGAAGGGTACAATTCGAGGATCAGGATTGCAGCCACTCATCTCTGAAATACGGTCTGAGTAAAGTCCTGCACATGTCACGACATACTGACACCGAACCTCCTCTCCCTAGCATGAAATAAAAGAATGGTGATTTTTATAAAGAGAGAAGAAAAACAGATGAGAGAAAAGTACAGAAATACCATTTTTTCATTTAAAAAGAAATTAAATACAAATATTAACAAAATAAGTTCATTAGCGTTTAGGTAGCAGCCAGAAACTTGGGTTAATGACATCAAGATGTCACCTTTAATTTCATACTTTAAACTGAATTAGATATAGAATTACTGATATATCATTGACCTAATATGGATACTCAAACAGCTACGCACACGCCACACACACAAAACCCTATTTTTCTTAGAGTCCCTGGATGGTACGAATAGTTAACATGTTTTGGTGTCAGCCCACAGGTTGGAGGTTCAAGTCCACCCACAGGTGCCACAGAAGAAAGGCCTGGCGATCTTACAAAACAAGAGTCATAGGAATCAATGTACTTGAACTGTAAATGTGAAAGTTTTTTGTGTTAGCAAATATTTACGTGTGTTTATTTTCACTAGGAGCTCTGGTGGCATAGTGCCTAAGGCATCTGACTGCTTACCAGAAGGCTGGCGGTTCAAACCCACCAACCACTTCCTCCGAAGGAAGATGGGGCAATCTACTTCCGTAGTAATACCTCCTCGGAAACCCAAGGAGGGGTTGCTATGAGTTGGATCCAACTCCACGGCAGTGAGTTCTGTTTTTTATTTTCACTACCAAAAAAAATCAAACTCACCACCGTTAGGTCGATTGAGACTCACAGCGACCCCTCCTTGGGTTTCCGAGGCAGTATCACTACAGAAGTAGATTGCCCAATTTCCTTCAGAAGAGCAGCTCGTGGGCTTGAATTGCCAGCTTTCTGGTTAGCAGTCAAATGCCTTAGGCACTATGCTACCAGAGCTCCTGCTTTAATGACTAGGAGACTGCTAATCGTAGGTTGTTGTGATTTCCTACCAATTTCAGGATTATAATCTGCATAAATTTAGCTTCACCCTGCCAGGTTTAGCCATTTTGCCACATTTCCTAAATGACTTCATTTAATCTCCACTCACCACCACCCTCTGGTTCCCATCTCTTTATTTCTTATAGAGTAAACAACCAACAACTCCTTGCTCCTGTAACTTCCTGCTCCTAGATTTCCTTCACAGCTACTGTTTCTGAAGCCTCAGAGTCTCAATATTGATGGACTGTATTTTTATCTGTTTGTATCTTATTTATGCCATTGCTAAGAAGTTAAGCCTCTTTTCAAGTTACACAAGTCACACTTTTAACAAAATCATATGAAACTTCCCCACAGGAATTCAAATTAGTTACTACACCATGGCAGTTCTAAGCCCTTCAAGTCAAAAGTGTTTTGTCAAAAAGAGTCAAAAGAGAACCTACAGATTGGGAAAAAATATTTGGTAATAACATATCTGACAAGGGACTTATCTCTAGAATTTATAGAACACTGCAACACCTCAATAACAAAAAGACAAACAATCCAATTAAAAAATGGGCAGAAGACATGAATAGACACTTCACCAAGGAGGATATTCAAGCGGCCAACAAACATATGAAGAAATGCTCACGATCATTAGCTATTAGAGAGATGCAAATCAAAACAACAATGAGATACCATCTTGCTTCAGCACTAGTAGCAAAGTTAAACAAGACAGAAAATAACAAATGCTGGCGAGGTTGTGGAGAGATTGGGACTCTCATACACTGTTGGTGGGACTGTAAAATGGTACAACCATTGTGGAAAGCAGTATGGCGATTCCTTCAAAAGTTGGAGATACAAATACCATTTGACCCAGCCATCCCATTACTAGGTATATACCCTAAAGAAGTGAGAGCCATAACAAGAACAGATAAATGCACGCCGATGTTCATCGCAGCACTATTTACAATAGCCAAAACTTGGAAACAACCTAGATGTCCAACAACTGAGGAATGGATAACCAAACTTTGGTACATTCACACAATGGAATACTATGCAACGCTAAAGAATAATGTAGAATCTGCAAAACACCGCATAATGTGGATGAACTTGGAGGACATTATGCTGAGCGAAATAAGTCAGTCACAAAAGGACAAATATTGTATTAGTCCGTTATTGTGAAAGTTAAGGAAAGGTTTATATATTGGAGGACATTTTCTTTGTTGGTTACCAGGGGTGGGAGGGAAGGGGAGGGAATGCTGTTAGATAGATAGAGATAAATATTGATTTGGGTGAAGAGAAGGGCAATGTACCAAATGTGAGTGACCAATATGGCAGCATTGAGGATGAGAAAGACAGAGAGTGTTACATGGGCAGTACAAACAACAAATATGAACCCCTTTGTAAATACAATATTGAGTTGTCAATGAAAGCAAACATGGGTATAGGGACGGATAGATGGGTGAACAAGCTAAACAATTATGTATGTCTAAATGGAGAGTGTATCCAAGATCATATACAGGGTTGGCAGACAATGGGCCTCTCGAAGAGTATGAAGGGATGGACACTGGGAGGAGATAACTATGGGGAGGAAGTGGGAGGGGAGCTGCTGCATTGTAAATTTTGGTCAATGACATGAGACAAAGTATATGTGAACTGCTGTATGAAAAGTGAATTTACTCTGTAAATCTTCACCCAAATCCTAATTAAAAAAAAAAAAAAATTAAAAAAAAAAAAAAAAGTGTTTTGTCAGCAACAAAACAATGCCTTCTTTGAAACAGGTCCTTATCTTTCCTGTCCATCTACAGTTATATACCAGAAGTACAAGAAATTTTTTGTGTGTGATATAAATCTACTAGTTGCTACTTTAAAAGTCAGCAATTCTTTTGTTCCTGGAACATAAAATGTAGATAAACCTTATGATGAATAATGTAAACATAACAATGAAATTGTAGAATGGTACCAGCTTGCAATAATATAATAGTTTTCTTTAAAAAACTCAAGCAATAATTCCAAAGAATAAAAACTATATTAGATCTCTGAGATCATTTTACTTTTTCCATTGAATAATAAGTAAAATTAAGTAACATATTAATTTTACTTCCAAAAACGAAATTTAGGTAAATACTGAATACACAGGTGTTTAAACATAAATTTCTTTTAAAAAATAAACTATACATCTCTCCTGCTACTTCTAAGTGAAACACACCTTTCTCCCCATATCCAATCTTTTAAGTCTTTAGTCTGTAAGTCCTCCCCATGAAAGTTATTTTAAAAATTCCTTTTCTTTTAAACTCTTGTAAAAGCATAGATGTTTCCTTATGAATGTACCCAAGTATTTGATTCTGGGAAGCTCTGGTAGCATAGTGGCTAAGGCACTTGACTGCTAACCAGAAGGCTGGCGGTTCAAACCCACCAGCCACTCCTTGGAAGGAAGATGGGACAATCTACTCCCGTAGTGATACTGCCTCGGAAACCCAAGGAAGGGTCACTAAGAGTCGGGTCCGACTCGATGGCACACACCAACAACAACATTTGATTCTGAGCCCAAAAACTATACTAAAGGATGTTAAAATAAAAAGCAGCTATAGCAACTTTGGAGGAGCTCTGGTAGCATAATGCCTAAGGCACTTGACTACTAACCAGAAGGCTGGCAGTTCAAACCCACCAGCCACTCCTAGGAAGGAAGAGGGGGCAATCTACTTCTGTAGTGATACTGCCTCGGAAACCCAAGGAGGGGTTGCTATGAGTCGGGTCCTACTCGATGGCACAAAACAACAACAACAACAACATAGCAACTTTGGGTGAAAGAAAAGAAAAGAAATATATATATATACACACACACACATACATACATATATATCTCCAGTGGTATCCCCTAAGACTCTGCATATGCCATACGGCATGACATGACATCATACTCTAGTCAAAATGTCCCTTAAATGAGGGCCTGAGCAGAAACACTTTTCATCTTTCTTTAAATGGAGACAGTGGTTATCTTATTACTTGGGCCACAGGAGCCAGCAGATCTGATGATAACTGAAGTTTCTGTGGCAGACATGGGTATCTTACAGAGCCTCTGGCAGGCCCCTGTAGGTGAACCACAGCACAGAACTTTAGGATTTTGGAGAAAAGTTATGTCTTCCTCTGCAGATAACTGTTCTTTTGAGAAAGAGCTTTTGCTATAACTGAACTTCACCTGACCATAGACCACCAAGTTACCTACCATGTGAAATGAGCCATTGTTAACTGGGTGTGTTGTCAGACCCATCAAGTCACAATTTTGGGTGTGTACAGCAGCACTCCACCACTGAGAGGAAGTAGAATATATAAGATCAGGGCTATTCAGGCCCTACAGGCACAAGTAAGTTACAGAGGCAAGTAGCTCCAATTCTCATGGCCCCTACTCCTGCTAAACTGTCTCCTCCCTCTCAACTGCCCCTATTATCCCATGGGTAGTTCTCTATAACCCGCTGACCAAGGGTAAAAATATACAGGTCTGGTTTACAAATGATTCTGTGCAACATTCTGACATTCTGTATGGTGCTGTTTCTCCCACAGTCAGGGTTCACAGGTCTGGGAATCAGGAGTTAGAAACGGAAGTAACCCCTTACCATTACCTCAGTGATCTACTAGTGACTTTTTTTTGCTTCCCATCCCCAGAACTTTGGCCTCTGATGATCTAGACATCTTAGTTCCTAAGGAATAATTGCTTCAATTAGAGAACAAGCAATGGTTCCATTAAATTGGAAATTGAGAATGCCACCTGGCCAATTTGCATTCCTCACGCCAATGAATCAATAGGCAGAGGGGATTACTATACTGAATGGGATAATTGATCCTGACTCTCAAGGAGAAATGGGGTTGATACTACCCAGAGGGGTTGGGTAAGATAAAGAGGAGTACATCTGGAATGCAGTTTCCCTGAAGTACTTCTCAGTACTCCTGTGTATTATTATAAAAGTTAATGGAAGCTTACAACCACCTGAAATAGGGCTGCTAGCAGCCCAAACAACTCAGGAATGAAAGTTTGAGTTAACTCACCAGGCTGGAAACCATGATCAGCTAAGATGCTTGCCAAGGGCAAAGGGAATATGAAATGGGTAGTAGAAAAAGGAAATTTTAAGTATCATCTACAACCACATGACCAATTACAAAAATGAGGAATGCAGCAGTTATATTTCTTACTTACTTTGAAATAAACATATTTGTTTATAAATTAACCAATTTTTTCTTTTATATTATAGTAGATACATATGTAATAAAATGTTTGCCATCTCAATATTCTTATAATTAATGCACAATTTAGGGACATTAATTATGTTTATCATCTTGTTCAGTCATCACCATTATCCATTTCCAAAATTTTCCATCACTTTTAACAAAAGCTCAATGTCACCTAAACAATGAGTCCCCCTTTTCCCTTCCCTCCTGTCTACCCCTGGTAACCACTAATAAACTGTTTATTGGATATTTCATTTAAGTGGAGTTATACGATATTGTCCTTTTGTGACTGACTTTCACTCAACATGTCTATTTACTTGTCTATTCTAGATACTTCATCTAAGTAGGATCATACAATATTTGTCCTTTTGTATTTTAGAGATTCATCCATGTTGCAGCAAGTATCAGGACTTCTTTTTCTTTATGACTGAATAATATTCTGTTGTATGTATGTACCACATTTTATTTATTTCCAATTCTTTCTTCCCCCACCCCCCAAAGCATTCTCATACTATCTAATACTGCATTTCTCAACCTTGCAAATGCTGATATTGGGAATCAGACAATTCCTTGTTGTGGGGGCCTGTGTGTGCATTATAGAAAGTTTACCAGATTCTTTGGTTTCTACCCACTAGATGCCAATAGCAGTGCCTTCTCCTCCCCAGTGGTGACAACCAAAAATGTCTTCAGGTATTACCAAATGTTCCCGTGGGGCAAATTGTCTGCAGTTGAGAACCACTGATCGAATATAAGATGTTTGACTAATCTTGTATCTCTGTATTTAAGTTATAGGAACTCAAAGGGTGAGTATGACTCAGCTAGAAATGAACAAACATCACCCAAAGATGGATAAAGTGAGCTTTGTCTGTTTTTTTGAGAGGTTGGTATGTCTTTGGTTGTATGAGGGATAGTGAGTTATACCTTGTTAGGTGGAAACATAATTTGTTACTGTCTTTATTTAGAAGTTAAATACCATTATAAGGGATGTGTATTTGATGTCAAGTTAAGAAGGGGTAGATGGTGGGGGTTTATACTGTGTCAACTTGGTTAAGCTAGGAACAGTGTTTGACAGAATCCCCTTCACTATTTGGTTCCAAATTGAAGTTGAATAAAAGAGAAAGTACATACCACTTGGTAACAGAAGTAAAGCAGCAGCCACTATTCTCTGAAGGTCATCCTATTCCGATGTGGTGACAGATAGATACCTGCTGCCTGGGAAGTTCCAGTTCCATATCTGTGTCCCAACTACTGATCCTAGTCACCAAGAGAAGCCCAGATCCCCTACGTAGGTACAGATACAGGGGCAAATGCCACACACAAATCTCCCCATGAGCTTCCCCTCTGCAATTCCACTTTGGCAGCTACACAAATCTCCCCATGAGCTTCCCCTCTGCAATTCTACTTTGGCAGCTACACAAATCTCCCCATGAGCTTCCCCTCTGCAATTCCACTTTGGCAGCTGGACACACTTGCCTTCTCAGATTAGTTGGGGACTCCTCTGATCTGCTAACTCCCATTTTGGACCAGAATAGAAGACCATTCTGGACCTCCTCAGATCCTTTCACAATTGTGTAAGGTCTAATTCCTAAAATAAAGCCCGTAACATCCATTAATGACTCTGCTTCCCTGACTAACCCCTGACAATGCAGTGAACATACAGTGAATGCAATGCTTCTATGCCAGTTATAATGGTTCTTATTTCAGATCATGTGGAGATGTAGGAAAGCAGTCCATCTCCTCTGAAGCTCCCCCACCAGAAGTCTTCTAATGAGTAAAGAGTTAATAAGTTAATGTGGTTCAATAGACAGATCATTAAAGTATCTACCAGTTTTGCCTTAAAATTAAACATTCCATATGCTTTGTCAGGCAAGTCACTTATGAAGATGTTCCCAAGTTAGAAGTGTTATTAGAACGAAAGCTGTTATACTGTTCCTGAAGAGTTTCTTTCGGAGTAACTTTCATGTTAGATAAATTTCATTCAGTGACTTACAATCTGCACTGTCAGTTAATTTAACTTTGTAAGAAAGGGAAAAGGATAAAAGCAGACAACAAAATTTTGCTTAGGAATTTTTACCTTTTCATTCCTAATAACAATTGGATATTTCATCCCTGAAAAAAAAATCAGTGAAAGATTTATTTTTAGCAAAAGAATATCTATAGTATTTGAAATATTATACTGTAATAAATTTAAATGATTTTTTTTGGTCATAACAATGACTGCACCCTACTTTTCATATTGAAGCTTCTTACCAAGTAACACGATTAAACTAGTTCACATGTGATAATTTATAAAATTCTGGCATGCTTTCTAGCTCATTTTAATTAATCTGATCCATGTTTATAAAACCATCTCCCCACCTTAACACCAACATAGGGAACCCCAGCATTTTTCTGAAATATAATCCTGAAAACCATGCTGTAAAATGAACCATTATAAATCAGTTCTTTTCAATGACTAATGCTGTGGTAGGAGAAACTTTATTGTTTAAATATTAGTTTTAATCCTACAGATTCTAGGTCGTATAGAGAAGAGTTATCACAACACAAAAGCTCTCAATAATAAACTATGTATAAAATTAGTTCCTACTTAAAACACATGGAATCTCAAAATCTTATGTTTACCAAGTAAGTAATATTATATGGCCATGTAATAAATTTGATTTATATACTACCTATAAAAATTTAAATTATTTAACTAACAATTTTGCTCATCATCTTAGAATTTTGAAAGACACTGGGAAAATGATTCAAATAGTCCAGATTTTAAAAACTTGTGCAGATGTACCAAATGGGAGTGATCAATATGGCACCATTGAGGATGAGAAAGACATAGAGAGGTACATGGGAAGTACAGATAACAAATATGAACCCTTTTGCATATACAGTACTGAGTTGTCGGTGTAGGCAAACGGGTATATGGATGGATAGATAGGTGGACAGGCTAAACAATTAGGTATGTCTAAATGGGGAGTGTATCCAAGATCATATATATATAGGGTTGGCAGACAATGGTCCTATAAGTTTATGTGAGTGATCAGAATTCCCAGGTGTATAGTAGAGCTGACAAGGGGCAAGGTTATGGTCATTGCTTGGTCACAGCCAGCTACCCAGAGGGACCGAGTAGTTGATCCTGCAGACTTGGGACCATAGTCGCAGGGGACATCAAGCTCAATTGGCATAACACTATACAAAACATTGTTCCACCTCCTACTTTGGCGAGTAGCGACTGGGATCTTAAAAGCTAGCAAGCTGCCATCTAGATGCAACAATGGGTGCCTCCTCGTCAAGAAGAAAGAAGAAAACCAAATGAATGGAAACAATCAGTCCTAGCGACTGGTACACCATCTGATCTGCAACCTATACAACTATGAGACCAGAAGAACTAGATGGTGCCCAGCTACCACTGTCATCCACTTGGAAGGGATGTACGAGATCCTGCATAGAGAGGGAGAACAATGTGGAACAAAACTCAAAATCATTTGGAGGCAAAAAAAAAAGAAGGTGGGGACCAGGTTTGCTGGTCCAAAAGAGCCTGGTGAAACCACTGAGACTATGGCCCCTAGCTGCCCTTCAGGTCTGGGATTGAACCCACAACTGTGGTTTCCAGCCAAACAAAGAACAGGCAAGTGAGTTAAACATTTACCTCAAGTAGACACACACCCTGGAGAGAACAATCATGGGAGAAGGAAGGGCTGCTTATGCACAGGGACACAGCTCAGGGCACAGAAGAGTATGGAGGGATGGACACTGGGAAGAGGTAACTATGGGGAGGAAGTGGGAGGGGAGCTGTTGCATTGTAAATTTTGGTCAATGACATGAGACAAAGTATATGTGAACTGCTGTATGAAAAGTGAATTTACTCTGTAAATCTTCACCCAAATTAAAATAAAATTAAAAAAAAAAAAAAAAACTTGTGCAGGAAGACTGAACCAAATACTACTTTTTTTCTCCTTCAAATTTCCAAATAGTAAACAGAAGGATCAGAAATCATTTACTGATTTTACAAAAAAAAGTTAATGCCCTCAAAGCAAAATAAAACAAACTCTTAAGCACAGACTAAAAGAGGGGGTGTGGGGGAAGGTAGTGTTCAGAAAGGCTGAGTCATTTTATAACCTTAGGCTGTCATTCTGAAAGTCGGGTGTGTCTAGGTTGCATCAGGAGGGACCAGTCCCTGGAGGAGGAGGATTACATGTTTGGTAAAGTAGATGGTCAGTGGGAAAAAAAGAAAGACCTTTAAGGATATGGGTTGAGACACTGGCTGCAGCAATGGGCTCAATCATAGCAAGGATTGTGAGGATGGCACAGGACCGGGCAGGGTTTCATTCTGTTGTACACAGGGTTGCTATGAGTTGGAACCGACTCCATGGCACCTAACAACAACAACAAGAATCAGGAAGGCCTTATTATTCCTAGACTCTATTTCCAGATTGTTTCAGTAAGTCTGATGCTAAAATTTGCATTCTTAACAAGCATCACAAGGGACTCTGACTCTAACCTGCAGGGTAGAGAAATATTTGGGGGCTAATTTCCTATAAAAAGCCTTGGTGTTTCAGGTTTTAGCATGTCAGAAGTGTTCAACCAGTACCCAGTTTTAACAGCACAAGACCCTCCAGGAGTCCTGGTTCTTCCATGGCCAATCTCACCCTCACCCCTTCCTGTACCTCCCTTCAGCTTTATGCTCTACTCTAGCCCAGCTCCTTGTGGCCCCACCGTGCTACTCAAGGTTGCATTTTATGTTTTGTTTCCCCCCGCTGTGTAACCTGCTTCAGTGCCCACCGTCTATGGGCAAGGAAGCCAGGCAAAGGTTTGGGGCTACAGTTTGCTCTGGCATAGACACTATGAATGGCCTACAGTGATGGGCCTGCCGTAACTTCAAACCCACACTGCCAACCCTTCTAAAAGGTTAATAAAATTATTTAACAGAAAAGATAAAAAGAATGGCTTACCATCTTGACTTCTTGAAGGACTTTCTTTAGCCATTTCAATATCTTTTACTTCAAAATTTGTCAAAACAGAGCCACCAGCATCTAGGAAATCCTGGGCAAATGACAAAGCCACCTGCCGATAGTCCACAATGCCAGTATATGGGCAATCAATAGCCATTAGACCCTAGGGCAGAATTGTGAAAACATCAAGACAATACAATTAAGAATCACTGTAGGTCTGTTCAATAGATTTTATTTGTGCTGAATGTTTTTGTTTATTTTGATGGATAACATACATTATCTTTTCTTGAAGGGATCAGTGCAGGAGATTCTGGATAGAGTGGGAGAACAATGTGCAACAAAACTCAAAATCATAAAAAAGACCATTCTTACTGGTCTGATAGAACCTGGTGAAACCTCCAAGACCACTGTTCCTAGTTAGCCTTCAAGCCTGGAACTGCACTCACTCCCATAGCTTCCGGCCAAACAACAGACAGTCATACAGGGTGAACATTTACACCAGGTAGATACACTCCTTAGAATGATCAATCATGGAAGAACAGAAGGGCAGCATGTTGCATAGGAAGATAGCTCAGGGGGCAGGAATGCATAGGAAAGATGGACACAGGGAAGAGGTAAACTACAGGGAGGAAGTGGGAAGAAAGCTATTACTTTGTGAGGACTGCAGTCAATGTCATGAAACAAAATGTGTATGATCTGCTATATGGAAAATGAATTGCTCTGTGAGATTTTACCCAAATCACAATAAAAATTAAAAAAAAAAAAAAATTATCCTTTCTTGGCAAAAGCCTGATAGTCTTAAAGCAAAAATCAAATAAAAACTAGGAGATTCAAAATGGAGTCTCGCCAGTGAGCACCGCGTTTTCTCCCTCTGGCATCTAAGAACTTTAAGAACTAGGTACAACAGTTTGAATTGAGACTTTTGGCACTCTGAACAACTTACTGATCCAGACTGCACCAAACACGGAAGAGCAGAATTGGAGGAAAGGTATAGGGAGATTTTTTTTTTTTTTTAGGAAAGAGCTACTGCCGGAAGACGAACGGGCACCTATGAGAGCCCATTGGAAACCTTTCTGGAGCAGTCACTGTCTGCCAGCCAGAGGTGGCAGCCTGAGATCCCCAAGCCAAGAAGGAGATCAATTATAGCAGCTTACCAGCGATCAATACAATATTCCAGCGGGCAGCGGCAAAGACCTGTCTCCAGCGGCTGATTTTGTCGGTAATTTGGGAGGTGAAGGGGCAGCGGGTCACGGACACCATTGCTGCCACACAGAAGGAGATCTCACTGGTGCACCAGAAAGGCTAACTCCCTCCCCACCCAGCAGATTACAGAGCGGGTTTGAGTCAGGCTTTTTTTTGCCACAGTTATTGGGACCACAGATCACTGGCAGTTACTCTCTCGAATCCACCACAGCTAAAATTGCTCACATTTTTGGCATCCCAGGTGGGCGGTACTGCAGACAAACTCCGGAGCCAACCATTGCCAGTCAGGCGGGATTGCGTTACTGCCACGGGCAGAAGGTCATGGAGAGCAGAAAAACCGCAGCTGAGCGCGCTCACTTGAGTTTTGCCCTGGAGCCATGCTTTGGCACTGTGGGGCTGCGGAGGCGGGGGTTTTGAGCGTGCATAAAATTGGCAGAAATTTGTGACCCTCTAATAATACGAATCTTTCCTGAGATTGAGCCGTGGTCTTGCAAGTAAATACGTCCTAAGTAAGAACCTGCTCAGGCACTCCCCCAAGTCCAACACACCTGAAATTGCGCGCATCTTTGGTGCTGCAGGTGGGTGGTATCGCAGACAAACTCCAGAGCCAACCACTGCTGGTCGGTCAGGTGGGATTGCGTTACCACTGCAGGCAGACAGGGCACGGAGAGCAGAAAAGCCACAGCTGAGTGCGCTTACTCAAATTTTGCCCTGGAGCCGTGCTTTGGCACTGTGGGGCTGCAGAGGCGGGGGCTTTGAGTGTGCATGAAATTGGCAGAAATTTGCGACCCTCTAATAATACGAATCTTTCCTGAGATAGAGCTGCGGTCTTACAAATAAATATGTCATAAGTAAGAGCCTGCTCAGGTACTTCCCCGAGTCCAACACACCTGAAATTACACGCAACTTTGGTGCTGCGGGTGGGCAGTATCACAGACAAACTCCAGAGCTGACCACTGGCGGTCTGGCTGGATTGAGTCAACACCGTGGGCAGAAGGGGCACAGAGAACAAAGAAACTGCAGCTGAGCCTGGTCCCCGAATTTTGCCTTGGAGCCGCACTTTGGCACTGTGGGGCCGCGGAGGCGGGGCCTTTGAGTGTGCCTGAAATTAGCAGAAATTTGTGACCCTCTAACAAGAGCAATTTTTTCCTGAGGTCAAGCCGCAGTCTTGCAAATAAATACCTCATCAATAATACCCAGCTCAAAGCCCTAGAAACTGACCCTAGCAACCCTAAGCTTTCCTTCTTCTGCTCCCACCTTCTCCTGCAATAACTTCACTCATTCAATAGAAGAAACCATATTCAGCCATTTGCCATAAAACCTCATGCTTCCAACTCTAAACCCTCTGTACGAAAAACAGAACACATAGCCACACTACACAGAGTGATTCCACCATCACAAAGGAAACAGCAGAACGACCCAACACACCTGAATCAATATTAAGATAAAACACACCAGCTTCAGCTTTTCAAAATATTAAACGGTAAAACCAAGACAAAACAAATCAACACGTAACCAGCAACTAGAGACAACATAAAGAGACAACGCTCTACCAGATTCCAAGGGCTTAAGAAGAGGTTCTGCTTTCCAGTAATGCCAAGAACGCTCCGAACCAGCACTACAGGACAGAAAAGGTCTTAGTTTACACCTTCTTCTTCTTCTTCTTTTTTTTTTTTTTTACTTTTCTTCTCTAGTGATTAACCCCGTTACTTGTTGGGTTTTTTGGTTTTGTTTTGTTTTTGCTGGTTTTTTTCTTTTTTTTCCTCTTTTCTGTTTGCTAGTTTGTTTTCTTTCTTCATTATTCTCCTTCTCTACCTTTTTTCTTTTAGTGACCTAACCCCAGATATTGCATATTTACCTGTTTTCTTTTTCTTTTCTGCACTTTTTCTTTTTTGGGGAGGTTATTGTTCCTGTGTGATTTCAGTGTGTATTTTTTGTCTATGTGCTTTTAGTTTTTTCAATGGTTATTCAATTGTAATTTTTGCCTAACTGAATGGGAGACAACAACAGTCCCCATAAGATACAAGTAACTCACACCTTCTGCAATTTCACTTACTGAGCAAGAGCCAGCACCACCTCCTCCACCAGCGGGCCAACAATAAAAAAAACATCAAGAAGAGCCTGAATCACCCTTGGCTGCTCTTCACAAACAATTAACAGAGATCTTAATACAATATCATGATGCCTCGGAGACAACAGACCATCACAGTCCACACAATGAAGCAAGATAAAGGGGTACAAATAAGAGAACAGGTTACAGACCCAGAACACATCCCTGAGGAAGAAGCAGCACTGGAGCTCTTTGATAAGGAATTCAAAAGAATTATGTTTAGGTATCTTCAAAGGATTCAGAGACAGACCAAAGAAAACACAGAAGAAACCTTGGAAGAATTTTGGAATAAAATACAAGAACAAAATGACAAAATAAATGAAAATTTAGAAATGATTCTAAATCTACAGATAGAAATCCAGAAGATTAACACTAAATTGTTAGAAATAGATAAACACATTGGAAAGGCAAAGGGGTAGAAGTAATGCAATGGAAGACAGAATTAATGAGATTGAAGACAAATATCTGAATACTTCTTTGGAAAGGGATCAGTCAGAAAAAAATCAAAACAAAATGAAGAAAGCCTAAGGTTCACGTGGGATACTATCAAAAGAAATAATCTACGTGTCGTTGGAATTCCAGAACAGGAAGAGAAAAACAAAACCACTGAGAAAATTGTCCAAGATTTGCTGGAGGAGAACTTCCCTGATATGACGAAAGAGGGGAACATACCCATTCAGGAAATCCAACAAACCCCAAACAGGATAGACCCCAAAAGAAAATCACCGAGACTTATCATCATCAAACTCACCAAAACCAAGGACAAAGACAGAATCCTGAGAGCAGCATGGAAAAAACAAAAAGTTACATACAAAGGTCAGCCAGTAAGAATAAGCACTGATTTCTCAGCACAGATCATGCAAGTGAGAAGACAATGGGATGGTATATATAAAACCCTGAAAGAGAAAAATTTTCAACCGAGAATTATATACCCGGCAAAACTGTCCCTCAAATATGATGGTGAAATTAGGAGATTTCCAGACAAGCAGAAGCTAAGGGAATTTGTTAAAACCATACGAACCTTAAGAGACGATAAAGGGAGTACTTTGATCTGAAAACCAAAAATAGCAAATATCAACAGACCATTAATACACAAGATGACACATCCCAGAAACCACAGCTATGGACATAGCCAAAATAAAATGAGATTCCAAGATTGTAAACAGGGAACCAGAGACATCAATTGGCAAGTGAGGACAACTACAAACAAAAAGAGGGAAAAGACTGTGCAGTTACAGAACTTCTAAATGGTGAGGAAGTTAAGAGAGTTGCAAGACAGAATAGACTGTTCTAAACTCAGGGAGAAAAGTATAAATCATAGGGTAACCTCAAAGAAAAATGATAAACCTTCATATTATGATAAAAAAGAGAACAAGCACAAATACCCAGCAAATAATAACAGGATTCATAAACACAATGAGCTCAGCACAAAAAATAATATGGAACAGAGAAACCAGGGACACCATGAAAAAACACATACCAAAATGACAGCAACCAAATCATACCTGTCAATAATTACACTGAATGTTAATGGTTTAAATGCACCACTCAAGAGACAGAGAGTTGCAGATTGGATAAGAAAACAAAACCCATCAATATGCTGC